GCAAATGCCTTTCTTCTTCAAATAACCTACTATACCCCACAAACTAGATTAATTCAAATGTATTGTTATGATTAAAAATATGGATTATTTTTGCTTCGTTAAGATGTATCTGAGTTATTTCTATTTAAAATGGTGTTTTTAAGTATAATCCATCTATACAATAGTGTCAAGTCACTTGATCATTCTAATCTGAAAAATAATAGTATGTAATTTACTTTAAAATTTCTCTATTATGGAAATTGTTTCTGTACTCAATATTTCTTAAAATATTTTAATATTCAAAATTGGAGATTGATATTTAGGAAAATTAGTTTCCAATTATGAAAGAGAATTTATATGTAATATTAAACTTTTGAAAGTTAAAATTTTGAAATTAAAATTTTAAATTATGAAGATGAACAAACTGTCATACTAACAGTGAGTTACATATGGAGAACATTTGGATTAATATGTGCACCTAATCACAAATAACTTTATAATGCTATGCAAAATAAGACAAAGGTCATCTAATGGTGATTAAACTCTTAGTCTTTTATGATGAAATATCATAAACTAGCTCATAAACAACAAAGGTTCATTTCTCATGGTTTGGAGGCTAGGAAATCAAAGATTAAGGTACTGGACAACTTGATGTCTAGGGAAGGCCTGTTTTCTTTTTCATAGGTGGTGTCTGTTGCCTGTGTCCCCACATGACAGAACAAATAAGGCAGTTCAGTGTTGCTCTATATGCTTATATAGGCACTAATCCCATTTCAAGAGAGCTTTGCCCTCCTGGCCTAATCACTTCTCAAAGACCATACCTCCCAATATCATCACCTTGTTGACATGGCTTCAACATATGAATTTGGATAGGAACAAGGTACAAATATTCATGCCATAGCTATCTTATTAAAATTGCTTTTAATTTAGTTATCAGAAAATGACTGAGTTTCATCACTGAACCATAACTGGTTTAAGAAGTAGTCAAGGGTGAGGATGTGGAATTGAACTTCCAATCATGCAAATATCCAAATATCCAACAAGTTAAATTGAATACTATATACCTGCTCTTTTTCATATATGTATATATATGTATATATATATATATATACATGTACAAAATTTAGACCCTGTGGCATTTTTTTTGTTAGTAGGTAAAATATCATTAGGTATTAGAAGTATCTCTTTCATCTAGCTCTTTCTAGCCTCCATATGCTGGGAAGCCCCAGCCCTTACAGATTTCTGATCAAACTGTCTCCAATCCTCATCCCAGCCCAGTCTTGAACTTTTTCTCTGAATAACTCAACTCCTTGGACTCTGACAATAAACATCTTTGATGGTCTCTGGATGCTACAATCCTGTGCCCTGACCTTTACTTGATAAGCACATGGTCATAAGTGTAATAGTTGATGATCACCATAGATTAATGCATCTCTTCTCTAGGATATAATTTACCCATAATAGTTAGATTGGCCAATCTAAGTAATTTACATCCATTAGTTTTCTAATTACAATAGGTAAATAATATATCCCTGCTTATTTCCCTTATTACAATAGGTAAATAATATATCCCTGCTTATTTCCCTTAGTGACATGTGGATATTAAGAAAGGATGATAGAGTTACTTTGGTAATTACTCCTCAGGGAAACTGACTCTATCCTCATTACTCCAGTCTCAGAGCTTTACCTAGCTTAATAAAAGGTAAGCGGTATTCTAGCCTCAGGAAAAAGAAGGTAATGATGACAAGGTGATAGAGACTTGCTGAAGTAAGCGTCCCTGTTTCAACCTGATAATTGTGGTAAGTTTCAAGCCCGTTATATCCCAGCCCTGACTTCTGAAGCAGGTTCCAGAAGGAGTCCCACCTCCACCCCATAGTTTAAACACTCTTGATTTTTGCCTAGTGAGTGGTTACCCCTTAGCTTCTGAACCTGTGTGGTAGAATGAGAGGAAGCATGTCCTAAATAAACTCAATGACATGTAACCAAAACAAAATTAAAGAATTCCACAGGCTCTAGAAATAATTTTGCTGTTGTATTATTTTGGATTCCTAATGAAATACATAGATTTTGTTATATGCTCATCTGTTGACTGGGAATTCCTTGTCTTCTTGCTTCCCTCACAAAGATGGCTGCATATTAGTGAGGCAGCGATAAGGGAAGAACAGTATTAATAGAAAGTTGAGGAAAAGCTGACTGTGACTGGCCTTTCAGAGAAAGCCTGAGATTGGAGGGAAGGGAGGAGGGGATAATAACATTTACTGGTTGCTAAAAGCTTATCATGACCAAGCCATTTTCTGAAGTAGATATCAACATCTTTATATTTACCAAAAAAGAAAGAAATGTACTCAAAATAAGGTAGGTAAAGTTATGCTTCACATAGAATTTGCTTCCAATTCTGTCTAGTTCCAGGGATGTAGGATTTTTTCTACAATTCTTTCTGTACTATTGTACTAGACTAATGACTAAATGATCCCTTTTGTCACTTCCCAATCTGAAATGCTCTTGTGGAACAAATCCTAAACTCAGGAGAATAATTGTGCTTAAGATTTCTTTCAGAAGACCTGACCCTATCTGCCTGAGAAGACTTGAGGTAGGGGATGAGATAGAAGCAAAAATGCAAGAGGAATAGAAAAGCAAAGTCAAAGGAGGTGGAGTGGTAGAGAAAAAGATATACTCTTGCTTCTTCCAGCATCTGCCAAATTGTTCCTTCCACTATCAAGTTGTGAACATGGTATCTCCCCTGACAGGTAAGTATCCACTGTAAAGCTGTTTGATGTGTGCCAGTCTAGATATGGGTGAAATGGGATCAAAGATTCAGTGAGATAACACATGAGAAATAACTGCTTAATCCAGAGGTAGACTAATAATTGGTCCACTTAAGAAATTAAAGGATTATGTTGAGCATTTGGAGATAAAGAAGGAATATAGAAAGGAGCATAACAGATTAAGAAGAGAAATGTCCTCCAATTCCCCTAATCATGGGATGTTCTGACAAAAGTGATCATTTCTTGAGGTCAGTCATTTGTCCATGAATTTCCCTACACTAAGTCTTAGCACTGCCCACTCCATAGACCTTTTCCTGAGCTGATATCTTGTGAGTTAAACTCATCAGAGAATATGTGGCCAAGAATCCTGTACGTAGGAATAAAATTAGTTTTTTCAATGCTTTCTCCCACATTTTCATGCAATGAAAAATTATTAAATAAATCAATGACTTTTAATATCCAAGTAGATCAGCATTTTCATTTCTCCATGTTTTATTTCAGTCTTTAAACAAATTGTTGTCTCAGATACCTACTGTGACAGTGATTTTTTTCCTATACTATACTTTACTCAACTTCTCCATTAATTGAACCTAGAATATTTGTGCTAATTCCTCAGGTCTCAACTGAAATGTTGCTTTCCAAAGACAGTTTTCTTAAATTTTTAAAAATAAATTAGGTTTCCTGGGCACAGGTGGCTCACGCCTGTAATCCTAGCTACTCAGGAGGCAAAGATCAGGAGGATTACAGTTCGAAGCAAGCCTGGACAAATAGTTGGCTAGATCCTATCTCGAAAAAAAAAAATCACAAAAAAGAGCTGGTAGAGTGGGTCAAGGTGTAGGCCCTGAGTTCAAGCCTCAGTACCACAACAAATAAATAAATAAATTTGGGTTTCCCCTCTAGGTCCCTTTTACAGTATCTTGAAGTTTTCCTTCATAGAAATTAATATAGTTGGAAAGAAGACTTCAGGGTATTTAATGATTTTGTCTGAAGAGTATTGGGGAAAAATATGTTCTCTGTGGTCTGTGGTTGAAAGGTAGAGAGATTTCCTGAGTAGGACCAGGACTATGCTGCCTGAGTTCTGCACAGTGCTCGGCAGAGAAGAGAGCTGATTGGCTTTAGGTCTGCAAAGCAGAGAAGAACTTAACAACCAGCATGGAATAATGGAATCTCTGTTGTTGGGGAAGTTCGGTGATGACTGATAGACAATTCATATTAGGGAAGTTGCAAGTATATTTTCAGCAAGTGTGAGAACTATGCTTGTGCATGTATAAATAGGAAAGAAGCAGTATGTGTGTGTGTGTACATGCATGCATGCACACATGTATTTGAGTGAATGAGTTGAATACTACCTCAGAGGTCCTTCCTGTCCTCACAGTCCAGGACTCTATTGCTATTACTCTGCTTGTCCAGACAATGTCAACTCAATCTAGGTAGGGTTTTTTCCTCTGCTGTCCTGCTTCCCTGACCAGGAGAACATGCCAACATTGTTTCCAGCTTTGTTAGTGCAATGAATTAAGTTTTGTGTCTGAGACAGAAAGTCCCAAATAATAAGGTAAGCAGTTTTTGAAAACTGATTCAAGAGATAGTGGATATTATTATGAAAACAAGTTCAAGAACCTTAACGTTCTACCTGCAAATCCACCAACATACTTTCCTGCTTCCTCCTAATTCATCCAATCCTTTGCACACAATCTTACTAGTAGTAAAGTTCAGAAAGTTTAACCCCAGAGTGGGTTCAAGATCCATAGTTTTCTAATTAATTCTCTTGCTGCTTGTTTCAGTCTTTATTCATTGCTACTTCCTCAACCTTGCCTTAGTCTTCAACTATTCATGTAAGTATTCATCAGGTATTTTTAAGTTCTTTAAGTGCCTTGTATCCAGATTTCTGTTCATCTGTTCCCAACATTAATCCGTGTATTATGCTGGGATTGCCACCATATGTTTGTCTCTCTGGTAGCTTTCTAGGGCCAGGCATCTCAACACTAACACATTTGTCCTTGAGCTGATCCAATGTGTACTATAATTTAGATGTGTATTTTCTATTATCCTGGAACTTCTCTATGATGGAAACTGTAACCTCTTTATAATGAAATTTCCTGTTTGTGGTTATATTTCATCTTTCAAAAATGAAATTGTTGGCACATGAATCTGAGTTTGTTTTCTTCTTCCCTTCCTCAGTGTCCAGTGATCTTTCTCCATGATAATGTTTGTTTCTAACTTTGAGGTAGCACTGATCCCCTGGAATGAGATTTCAACATGAAGAATTCCAGTAGCGCTTTGGAGTTCTTACCTAAAACATTCATTTTGGTTGGCATCCCAGGGCTGGAGACAGAGCACATCTGGATATCCATCCCCTTCTGCCTGATGTACATCACCATCTTCCTTGGTAATGGCACCATTCTTCATGTCATCAGAAAAGATGCTGCCTTGCATGAACCCATGTATCTCTTTCTTGCCATGTTGGCATTTGCTGAGGTTGGTGTCTCTGTATCCACCCTTCCTACAGTGTTGGGCATGTTCCTTTTTGGTATGTCTGAGATTAGTTTTGAAGCATGCCTTCTCCAGATGTTCTCCATCCATTCTTTCTCCATTATGGAGTCAGCTGTATTGCTGGCCATGTCTGTGGACCGCTTTGTGGCCATCTACAGCCCATTGCGCTATGCAACTATTTTGACACTGCCTCGCATCTTTTGCACAGGAGCTATCATTGGACTGAAAAGTATTGTGCTCATGGCTCCATTGCCCATGCTGTTATGGAGACTGCCCTTCTGTGGCCACAATACCCTCTCTCATTCTTATTGTCTCCACCCCAACCTTATTCATCTACCTTGTGGGGATATTTCTATCAACAATAGCTATGGGCTCTTCATTGTTACCACCACATTTGGTCTGGATTCATTGTTCATTGTGGTTTCCTATGGGCTTATACTCCACACTGTACTGGGTATTGCCACAGGAGAAAGGCGAAAGAAGGCACTCAACACATGTGGCTCACATGTTTGTGCCGTGCTTGCTTATTATGTACCTATGATTGGCTTATCTATGGTGCATCGTTTTGGACACTGTGTTTCTCCTCTGCTACAAACCATGATGGCCAATGCTTACCTCTTCTTCCCACCTGTTGTCAACCCCATTGTTTATAGCATTAAGACCAAGGAGATCCGTCATGGCATTGTCCGAATGCTATCAGAAGAGAGACCTAGAGTTTAATTAAAGGTCAATGTAAAAAGAGAGATTTTGTTTGTTTTCTATAATCACAGGTAGTTCTAGATTACATGTTATATAATTTATGCACTTTAAAACATGGTGTCTAACAGGAGGTTCACATAATCTAGTAGTGATCTGGAATAGACATACAAATAGACATGGAATATTCATGATCAAACAATACACAGAAGTGTTGGCATTTAAACTATATTGTACAACATGTATACCTGCCTATATTACCTTGCAGACTGGAGCAGGAATGCAAGAAATATTATTTATGAAAACATGGCATTCTGCATAAGGAAAATGCAGAAGGTGAGTTGAAAAGAGTCCTGAGAAAGTTATTGAGAAAAAACTATTGAGCCTCTGTCCTAGAAACAGAAGAAATGAATTGTTGTATTCTCTTGAGTTATAGGTCCTGGAATTACATAGCAGGTGAACTAGTCCTTGGATTCTTGCTACCTCAGAGGAAGTTTTCCACACAGGCTCTGATGTGGCTTTTACCCAACTTTACCAAGGCCCCAAATTTGGGGTACCTAAAATTAAAAATCATGTGCATTGAGCAAACGTTTGAAATTTTCTGACCCAGATACAGAAATCAAGCATCCTCAAACATTAATAACTTCTTTCTGATTGGATATTCTTTTTAAGACATTTAAAATAATATAAAGAGTTTATATTTTTAGGGGAGGAAATTCAGATTTTTGAGGAGCAAATGGATACTACTTTAGTCATTTTTCACGATAAACCTGAGGTAACATTAATGTTATTTTTCTCCTTCAGATGAAAAACTAGAGCTTAGAAATAGTAAGCACCTTACTCAAGCCCATATAAGTCCAAGAGCTAGTATTAGATCCTAGCTGAACCAGACTCCAGAGCATGAACTCTTAATCCCTGGCATATGTCAACTGAGCAGGAAATGAAGCTCCTTGATTCTGTTAGCAGGCAGTCAAGTAGAGCTTACTGAGTACATTCAATGGGTCAGGCATAAGTCAAGACCCTAGAGATAAAGCAGCAGCGGCAAAAGAGACAAGAGCCCCTCCTTCACAAAGCTTAGAAAGAACTCTCCCCTATATTCTTTCTTTGTCTCTTGTATACTTTATACTTCCTGGGAAATTTTTCAGAATCATTTTTAAACAGACCTTATATAAGTAAGCACAAATAAATAAAATATTTTAATATGAATTTCAAACATTTTAAATATTTACTTACATTTTTCATTGTAAGGATGGCAATGACTGGCAAAGACTTCTTGCAAAAGTTACTTCCAATACTCTATCTTCAAGTTTCCATTTATGCTATTTTTATAGATTTTAATCCAGGAATCTATAGTGCCTATAAACATGACCTAGAAGGCCAAGAAATTAGAGTGGTTATTCCCTGGGATGGGAACAAGGCATATCTTTTTTTTTTTGTACTGGGACTTGAACTGAGGGCCTTCACCTTGAGCCACTCTGCCAGCCCTTTTTGTGATGGATATTTTCAAGATAGAGTTTTGCAAACTATTTGCCTGGGCTAGCTTCGAACTGCTTTCCTCCTGATCTCTGCCTCCTGAGTCACTAGGATTATAGGCGTGAGCCACCCATGCCTGGCCGACAAGGCATATCTTTAGAGAACTGGAGAAACCTTCCACAGCTGGTGAGGTACAGGAGAGATGACATGGTCCAGGTGTCAAATGGTTTAGCATAAAAAGGGAATCTTAGCTACTTCCATTTCCTCTCTAAGATTGCTTCTTAATACTGTTACTTCTATATCTAAGACTGCTGAAAACATCAACATTCTAAATGTAGAGATACTTTGATTGATTTGTGTCCACATTTTAATAAAATGTCATTAACAAGATTACAAATTCATGTAATTGAAATTTTTTTAAAAAACTGAAAGGATATATATTCAAATAGTCCCTTTAAGTCCATATTTTAATGATTTTGGTTTCTTTCCAAACATAAAAAACATTTGAGTTTATTACATTTTCTTTTAAGAAAATACTTATGTGTAAGCAAGCAATTATACACTTTTATACTTTTTTCCATTGAAAATTGCACAGTCCCTTACTTAATTTAATATATATCTTTAAGATCTCACATAACCAGGTTATGAAGAGCACTGACATTTATTTTTACATCTATATATTTCATTTTGTGAATTCTGATACATTGTTTGTTACCAAAATGTATTTATCAGTTTCCAGTTGATGAATATCCAATTGTTTCCATCTTGTAATTTTACAAATAGTATTGTAGCAAAGAGTCTTGTAAATATGTGTTCTGTATATGTGTACATGTATAACATATGTAAATGTTATAACTCAATTTCTAGTGATGGAATTGCTGAGTAAAGAATTTTGTGCACTTATAATTTTGATAGATACAATATTGTAATTGTCTTCCATAGAAGTCATCTTTTTTTTGTCCAACCAATGCCTTTCAGTATTTTTAAATTTTGTTAAAATGGTAAAAAGCTACACCTCAATTTGATTATAACACTTACTGGGATTTTCTGCATTTAAACTAAGTGAACGTTAATTTTTTGTGTATATAGTTTGTCATGTTTTCAGAAACTACAGTGTGATCTGGAATGAAAAATGGCAGTCATTTGACTGAAATTATAAAGACAGTTTGAATAACTTAGGATCAGCCTTAGTTAGGAGCCAGAACTCACAGATTTACTTACATAGACCTATCCTCAGCTTTTGATTATGATTCTTAGCAGCTGTGTAACCTCAAGCAAGCAGCTGTCCTTTTAGAGAATCATCTTTCCTTCTATCTCTCTTTTTGATAAATTACAGTTGTACATATTCATGGGATACAAAATGGCATTTTATTATCTTTTGATCTGATCAGGGTATATTTACATCACTATTTCTTTGGAATTTGCTTATCTTCTATGTCTGCTTTCCATGTGGTAAAGATGAGTAAATTTTTCTGCCAAGGGCTACATACTAAATATCTTAGGCTTTATGGCCCATAAAGCTTTTCTTTCACAGATAAACACTTAGTAAAACATTTTAGTATGTAAATGTTCAAATATACATGAAAAGAAAAAATAGTGCAATGAACTCCCTTGTATGCTTCATTTTACTTCAATTTCAAAAATTGCAAATATCAATTTTGAAAATTTTACATTTATACCGATAAATGCACAGTTTAATGTGTTACTTTATCATATTAGTTTTCAACTTGAAATTATGTCACTTGTAATCAAATTAATAATACCTTCTCAGGTCTTCCGCTCTCAATTCCCAGGTTATTTAATTTATTCATTTTTAGGATTTATATGTCTGCTCTGCAATCCCAATGTCCCTTCTGAAGCAGTAGAAATGGTTTAGAAGTAGAGCATTCCTGTACATGGAATGGGTCCAAATAGCTAAAGAGGGCAGACAACAGGCGAAATCACAAAGACAAGCCGTATTTGAAGCAATCACTCTGGGCACTTAGTAATAGAAAACAAAAGAGAATTTCACAATTTACAACTAAACATCTGCTGATTGCCACTGGCTGAAGAGTGGTATTGTCCATGTTTTCATATAAACTCCTAGGCCATTTGCCATAGATGACACACATCACAACCCCTTCTTACCTGAGCAGGATCAAGGCTTCCTGGAGAAGTAAAGCATACCACATGCAATAGCTCTTCCCTACAGGCCACTGTAAGAAGAAGCCCCACTTCCCTCTGACTTGTGAATCTAGCAGGACATCTAGGATACTTCACCACATTTTCAAGCCATATCAGCTCTGAGTTTCATCATATTGGTGACATGTCAATGCTCCAACCATGAACAATCCCTCTCAAAACAAGATAAGTCACAGTAATAAGCAGGTGGTGACTAAGATCACGAAGACAACGTTTGCTAGGATAATGAGCTAGGCCCTTTCCACATTCCCGTCACAAAGTCCTCAGATTCCCGTATCTGCATTCACTTAGTCACTGGTACATACAGAACCCTCAGAGAATGTTATTATGTCATTTAAAATTATATTTGTTACTTCAATTAGTTTTCTTATCTAAAACTAAGTGTCTGCAGGTTCACTGGAATCAAGAAAATTTATATTTTTATAATAACAATTTTATAATGATCTCAAAATAGTGTACTCTTTGGTGCTTTTTTCATTAGAGTACAAAGAATGAATTCACTTAAGCAGGTTTAACACTTCAAATTTTAATTTAAATGAGTTAGATTTTCTTCAGTAAACTGAAAGTAAATTTCATGTTTCACACAAAGACATTTTTCCTAATGAATGTATACAAACCTTCCCTAATTAGGACAAAACTTGAAATTTATCTTTGACTCATGTCCCCTAGGATAACCTATCTTTGTAAGGAAGTTCAGAACTAATTTTCAAGAGAACTTGTTTCTCATCCAGAACCAAATCACATTGCTTAAGAACATGATGGCACTACAATTTTTTGTTTCTTGTTATAGTGCAGATGCTTATCCTGAACAACCCAAGGGCTCCAGGTTATCTACCTTGGGGCCCCAGGTCTCAAAGCACATTCCTGATATTCCTATAAGGCCCACTCAGAGGTCTCCCCACTTACTGTCTGCATTCCATCCTGGGATCTTCAGGAACATACAATCATGTCTAACCAAAGAGCACAGAATAGAAGCCAAAGAGCATTAAAGGAATACAGAGGATACTCAGGTCAGACTTGTCTGCTCCATGGATGGTTAGCAATAAGAAAAGAGAGAAAACACCTAGCAAGTGAGAAGAGAGGATAGTCTATAATTGGGAGAATTAAGCCAGCACATTTTAGATGCATAAGAAGAGGTGAGACTAAAATGAGATGTGACAGGTAGGAAACACGAAGCAGTTCATGCAGACATTTGTCTCCCACTGTGTGTGGGAGAAGCTCTGGTACCTTTATTCCCTGCTTCATCACACCATTGGTCATCAGGGCAAAATGCTTTCCATGCATACTTTTAAGAATCTTGCTCTGAAAATTAGCTTTTACTGGGTGGTATCCCTGTTATTCCTATTTTTATTTGTAATCCTTTTGTCTTT